AATTCAGCAGAAATACACTAAAATAAAGCAGGAAAAATAAAACATTTGGGAGAAATATACCAAAGTAAAGCAGAAAAATTCTAAAATTTAGCACAAATACACTAAAATAAAGCAGAAAAATCTAACATTCAGCAGAAATACACCAAAGTAAAGCAGAAAAACATTAAGAGTTTAATGTAGTGTTTTTATTTAGATGGAGACCATCTGACGCAGTTTGACTGAGAACTGTTGGTAAAAGAAGCAGAAAAAACGTTTTATGTAGTGTTAAACAATCTTTCTGCCTTTTTCATTCACTTCCTGAATCAGCTCTGTTCCAGCACTCAAAGACGCCGAAAAACTGGACAAAATGGGGTTAAAGTGTCTCAGATTTATGAACAAACCATCCAAAATTATGAGCTGATTTCACACAAAAAGGATAAAAATATGTCAGTAAATGAGTTTTCGATAAACTGCTGAGAAATGAGTCTATAAATAAACTGGAGGCTCCTTTAAACTCCCAGAAACGCGGGAAAACGACAGAAAAACACTCCGGCTTTTACTTTGGAGGGTTTCTGTCCGTACTTCCGCTCTGAGTGACGTAATTCCATGGCAACCAGAGAGAAAACACCCCGGAGAGGCCACGTGGGTGCAAAGCATCATGGGAGCTGGAGTCCCGAAATCAGTTTGACTTTGATTTAACTAAATTCATCCTAAACATACAGAATAAAAACAAAGAATTTATTTAATCATTTATTCATCAATGAACGCTTAAGAAGAAAAGCTGAAACTGGAACTTATTTATTGTGTATCTTTATAACATTACACATTACAGTTATTTATTCATTTATTTATTCATTTATTTATTAATCTATTTATTTATTGTGTTTTTATGACATTTATTAGATTTAGTTGTTTATTCTGTATCTTTTTTACTTCATTTATTTTTTTCATTTATTTATTTATTCTGTATCGTTATTTAATTATTTACTTATTAATTTATTTATTTATTTATTCTGTATCTTTATTACATTATTTACTTATTTATTTATTTATTCTGTATCTTTATTACTTCACTTATTTTTTTCATTTATTGATTTATTGTGTATCTTCATTACTTCACTTATTTTTTTCATTTATTTATTTATTCTGTATCTTTATTACATTATTTACTTATTTATCTATTTATTTATTTATTTATTTATTTATTTATTTATCCTGTTTCTTTATGCATGACATTATTTATTCCATCTATGTGATTAAAGGTGTATCTTCCCCCAGATGTGGCGCCTGTCAGCATCTGGACTCACCACCAGGGGGAGCTCCTCACCTGCATCCCGACCAGAGCAGAAACAGATGGGCTCCAGGGTCACGTGATGCCAAAAGGATCCAAGCTGAAGATGAACAGAGAGGAGTGTATTTGATCTAAATCAGTATAAAATACAATCATATCAAATTAGGAAAAAAATCATTAAGAACAATAAATACAGTGGAATAAAAAAAGTAGGAGCAATTATATAAAAACAAAATCAATTAAAAGTGAAAATTAAATTAAATCAGTGTCCCAGAACGGGAGGCTTCTGGTTGTGGAGGATTATATATTCCTGAATATTCCCGAAACTCCAATAAATCCAGATGTTTCTGATCCATAACGGACGCAGACGGCTGAGAGTTACACCTGAGCGTTTGCTGTGGTTTCAGGTTGAAGTCTCTGGGCAGTCTGGGATATCAGTGCTTCCACCAGAGGATCCTGTCCGCCTCCTCCTCAGCCTCCACCAGGTTCACCTGCTTTATCTCAGGTGTCCTTTTATCTGTATTTGGGATTCCTCCAATCCCAGCTGTTTGTTTTTTACGGCAGTTTCAAAATGAGGTCCGTTTTGGCAGTTGATGAAATTTTGTCACTTTTCTTCCATTGTATCTCAATGGGAGCCCGTTGGGACAGTCTGGACTCTGAGCCCGATTGTGAGGAAACCGTACGTCCGAGGTCAAAAGTGGGCACATCAGCCAAAAGAGGACACCCACAGCTACGTTTTGAGGCCTTTGTGGTCCCACTCGGCCCCACGGTTCGGTCGTGAGAGGCGGGAGTCTGGTTATTTTTTGTAAATAACCCCACAGGAAAGTTACAGCCTGTGATGATGTCACCAGAGTGGAGGGCAGATTTTGGGATTTTTCTGATTATTGCTAAAACGTCAACAGGGATTACGGCCAAACGGTGTGAGATCAGGCCTCGTGGCTCCAATATGTCGAAGGTCCGTCTTTTGTGACCCGTTTGGTACTTGAATGAGGTTTCTCTGAGGTTGTGGTGCCGAGTATTTTGGCCCAGAAGCTGCCTAGGTTTCGGGCCCATTTTCGGCCCTCCCATTCATTTGCTATTGGACGGCGTTTAACCTTTTCCGCATTTATTCGAAAACGGCAGGCCTAATGACAGAGAAATATACAAGCAATCGTCCCGTTGTCGGTTGGGACGGGCTTTCCTTTTTTGAGCCCAATACGTCAAACCGTGTGGGACTAGTTAGCGTCTGAAATTAGCACTCAATTAGCAATCAAGGCCCGGAACTGGGCTGAAAAAGACCAAGAACAGGCCTGAAACAGAGCTAGAACAGGGCAGAAAATGGGCCAAAACAGGGCTGTTGCTTCATCAGCTGCACTGACACCACAGCTGAGTAAACTTTAACCGAGTCTGAGGGCTGTAAACCCTACAGGACACACCCTGCCTCTGGAGAAAACTGTGGGGTCAGAGCTCAGACAGATATGGATAATGATGGATGACTTATCGTACCTGGTATGACTAAGCAATAATTGGTAACTTATCCCATGTTGATCAGTGATTGAAATGGAGTCAGAATGGGTCATTTGATCATTACAACCTGCCTTAGGGCACCAGGAACAGAACTGGGCAGAAGGGGGTCAGAACAAAGTCAGAACTGGGCCAAAAGAGGGCCAGAAATGGTCTGAAACTGGGCCATAACAGGGCCAGAACAGGGCCATAATAGAGCCATTGCTACTGCAGCATTACTGACACCACAGATGAGTGAACTTTGAGTCGGAGGGCTGTAAACCCTACAGGACACACCCTGCCTCTGGAGAAACCTGTTGGATCCTCTGTCCCGCCCCCCCACTGAGCTCTCATAAGGAAGGGTGTGACGGGAAAGCCTCATTTCCTGCCTCAGCTTGTCAGTCTGTCGTCTTTCGGAGCTCACAGATCGGTTCTGTTCAGGGGAAAGTTGAACTGTTTAACAGTTTCTGACAGCAGAAATGGCTCAGAAAGGAGTTCAGCTGGACACAGAAAGCATCTCCTGCTCCATCTGCCTGGAGGTCCTGAAGGACCCGGTGACTATTCCCTGTGGACACAGCTACTGCATGATCTGCATCAAAGACCACTTTGATGGAGAGGATCAGAAGGGACTTCACAGCTGCCCTCAATGCAGGAAACACTTCATACCGAGGCCCGTCCTGGAGAAAAACACCATGTTTGCAGCTTTAGTGGAGCAGCTGAAGAAGACTGGACTCCAAGCGGCTCCTGCTGACCACTGCTATGCTGGACCTGAAGATGTGGCCTGTGATTTCTGCTCTGGGAGAAAACTGAGAGCCAGAAAGTCCTGTTTGAGCTGTGTGGCCTCTTACTGTGAGGAACACCTTCAGCCTCATTATGATGTGGCTCCACTAAAGAAACACAAGCTGGTGGAGCCCTCCAAGAAGCTCCAGGAGAACATCTGCTCTGTCCATGATGAGGTGAAGAAGCTGTTCTGCCGCACTGATCAGAAGTCCATCTGTTCTCTCTGCTCTGTGGAGGAGCATAAAGGCCACCACACAGTGTCAGCGGCAGCAGAAAGGACTGAGAGGCAGAGAGAGCTGGAGGGGAGGCGGCAACAAATCCAGCAGAGAATCCAGAACACACAGAAAGAAGTGAAGCTGCTCCAGCAGGAGGTGGAGGCCATCGATCAGTCTGCTGACAAAACAGTGGAGGACAGTGAGAAGACGTTCGCTGAGCTGATCCGTCTCATCCAGAACAGACGCTCTGATGTGGAGCAGCAGGTCAGATCCCAGCAGCAAACTGCAGTGAGGGGAGTCAAAGAGCTTCAGCAGGAGCTGCAGCAGGAGATCACTGAGCTGCAGAGGAAAGACGCTGAGCTGCAGCAGCTCTCACACACAGAGGACCAC